TCATACCTCTCTGTGAGGGTGAAGCTATAGTTACCCTTCCTTTGTAGATGAGGAAATGCTGGTCTGGGAGGTTAAGCCACTTGTCCAAGAGTGGGCATGCATGGTCATTTTGGGGCTCCAGTCTAGAGTCCAAAATCTGGAGACATGTTTGGCTATCAAGACCGGGGCAAAGACTTTGTGAGGCCGAGGTGAGAGGATGGCCTGAGTCCATGGGTTCGAGACCAGGCTGGGCAACTTGGTGAGACCTCATCGCTATAGTCAATCAAAAAATTAGCTGGGTGTGTAGCGTGAGCCTGTGGTTCCAGCTACTTGGAAGGCTGAGGTGGAAGGATTACCTGAGCCTAGCAGGTCGAGGCTGCAGTGGCCATGAGTGCATAACTGCACTCTAGCCTGGGTGACAGAGTGAGACTCGGACTCAAAAAAAAAAAGACTGGGACGTGCTGTTTGTGTGTTTGTGTGTATGTGCATGTGTGCGTGCTACTGGCATCTAGGATGCTGTTCAGCATCCCGCAGGATACAGGACATCCCCTGAAACAAAACATTACCTGTTCCCAAATATCAACCATGCAGAGCTGAGAAACCCTGAGGAGAGTTTCCAGAAGAGATGCCAGGACAGGCTTGGCCAGGCTCAGGAGCAGGAAGGTGGTTTCAGACAGCTGTATGAACAAAGGCTGCGGGGAAAAGCACAGTGTATGAGAGACCCTTGGAAACCTGGGGTAGGCCAGGTGCGGTGGCTCACACCTATAATCCTAGCACTTTGGGAGGCCAAGGTGGGAAGCTCGCTTAAGGCCAGGAGTTTGAGACCAGCTTGGGCAACATAGCAAAACCCTGTTTCTTACTTTTTTTTTTTTTGAGTTGGAGTCTCACTCTGTCACCCGACTGGAGTGCAGTGGCACGCTCCCAGCCACCACAGCCTCGACCGCTGGGCTCCAGTGATCCTTCTGCCTCAGCCTTCTGAGTAGCTGGAGTTACAGGCGCACGCTACCTTTTTTACATCCGGCTTTTATTTATTGTAGAGATGAGGTCTCGCCAAGTTGCCCAGGCGGGTCTTGAACCCACGGGCTCAGGCAGTCCACTCACCTCGGCCTCCCAAAGCGCTGGGATTACAGGCTGAGCCACTGGGCCTGGCCAAAACCCTGTTTCTACCAAAAAAAAAAATAATAATAATAGGACCAGAAATCTGGAGTCACTAGAATCTAGTGGGAACCCTGGAGAAGGGAACAAGGAGGCAGAGGAGCGGGGACTTTGTCTTGTGGCCAAAGATAGCGGTCTAAGCTGATAGTTCTCAAACTTAATTTATGTTTGACTAGGTAATGTGTTTATATAATTCAGAATTCAAAAAGTATAGGGAAACGTCTTCTTCCTGTCCTATTCCACAGCTGCCTCATTTTTCCTGACAGACAGATGTTATCAGTCTCTTCTGTGTCCTTCTCTAATCATTTCCTCTTTTATTTTATTTATTTTTATTTTTGAGTTGGAGTCTCACTCTGTCGCCCAGACTGGAGTGCAGTGGCCGCTCCCAGCCACCGCAGCCTCGACCTGCTGGGCTCCGGCGATCCTTCTGCCTCAGCCTTCCGGGTAACTGGAACTACAGGCGCGCGCTACCACGCCCGGCTGATTTTTTGATTTATGGTAGAGATGAGGTCTCGCCAAGTTGCCCAGGCGGGTCTTGAACCCACGGGCTCAGGCAATCCACTCACCTCAGCCTCCCAAGGCACTGTGATTACAGGCTGAGCCACCGAACCTGGCTTTTCCTCTTTGATTTTTTAAACAAACAGTACACTGCAGGATTAAAACCGTAATTATAAAATTATGATGCAATTGAAGTTGGGTTTTATCTAGGTCACTCTACTGGATTTGAGGCAGACAAGGAAGGAGATAGGTCAGAGGCTGTTGGTAGGGACCAGGTGAGAGGTGGTGAGGACGGGAGGAGGGTGCAGGGGGGGTTGTCTGGGTGGGAGCTGGGGAGGAGGAAGAGGGGGATGAGTAAGTCAAGGGCAATGGCTAGATTTCCGGTTTGGGGCTAGGGCCATGGAGGGGCCACTTCTGTGATGGGCGCAGGAATGGCGGGGCAGCAGGCATGGGTAGGGTGAGAAAAAGGGGCCGTGGGACACCCCAGGGTAGCATCCGTCTGGCAGGAGGGACTCTGGGCTGGTGTCCAACCAGGGGTCTGAGGATGCTTAAGTGAATGAACGACTGAACGAAAGAATAAATGAATGGATTTATTCTTGAATGAGAGAAGTTTTGGAGCTCCTACATTCAGCCGACAAGATGTCCAGAAGGATTATACTGATAGCTGCCTCTGCACACCCTGGCTACTCAGTGCTGAGGGATTAGGGCTAAGTCTTCTCAAGAGGCACAGGAGGTGCAGCACCAGGCCAGGCGCAGTGGCTCAAGCCTGTAATCCCAGCAGTCTGGGGGGAGGGGCGAGAGGATTGCCTGGGTTCAGGGGTTCGAGACCAGCCTGAGCAACATGGCGAGACCTTGTCTCTACAATCAGTCAATCAATCAATCAATCAGTTGGGCGAGGTGGCACATGCCTGTGGTTCCAGCTACTTGGAAGGCTGAGGCGGAAGGATCACCTGATCCCAGCAGGTCAAGGCTGCGGTGGCTGTGAGCGTGCCATCCAACCTGGGCGACAGAGTGAGACTCCCACTCAGAAAAAAAGCAGCACCATCGTCTGGTGCAGTGGCTCACACCCGTAATCCCAGCACTTTGGGAGGTTAACATGGGAGAATTGCTTGAGGCCAGGAGTTCAAGATGAGCCTAGGCAACATATTGAGACCTAGTCTCTAAAAAAAGTTTAAAAATTGGCTGGGCCTGGTGGCATGCACCTGTAGTCCTAGCTACTCAGGAGGCTGAGGTGAGAGGAGTATGTGAGCCCAGGAGGTCGAGGCTGCAGTGAGCTGTGATTGCACCACTGCACTCTAGCCTGGGTGACAGAGTGAGATCTTATCTCCCTCCCCCCAAAAAAGCAGCACCACTGATGAGGCTTCTTCTGGAACTTTCTCTAGGTCTGAATTTGAATCCTCTTGGATAAGACCTTTAAATGATCTCTTTCAGCAGAACAGTCCATTTTCTAGCTAACTCAGCAGTGTGTGGTCATTGCCCACTGCCCTTGGGTTGATGGGTTGTGGGCACCAGACAGACACCCAGCGACCCACCGTCTCCTACCAGCCCTTTTTCTTCCTCTCAGGTGAGAACACCTACATGGGCGTGAGAACCCAGTGTTACAGAAATAGCCTCCAATCTGTTCTTATTTATATGAAAAGGCAAACCATATACAGACCCTGGAAGTGTGTGCTGAGTGGTAAACCACACATGACGCACCTCACTGCCCATCTCACTAGCGTCCTTGGGCGAAATTTGCCCTTCTGTGAGTTGCTTGTATCACCTGAGAGCAAAGAGACTTGAGGGCCCGTAAGGCATTGGTGGGTTTGACATATCTCCCGGTATCTTTTGTTAAACCATGGTTGTGCGCCTCATGCCTGTTGCAGGTACATGTAGTGACCAGATAACCTGAGGCCTGAGTCACAGTGAAAGAATTCACCGAAATCAGATTAGAGTAGAAAAACAGGTTTATTGAATACGGGGCAAGGAGGCAGGAGGCAAGAGAGTGATAACCCGATAAGCCCCCAAGTCAGTGGCTTGAGGTGTCTTCACAGCAGAGTTGACCTCCTTTGGTTAGGGTTAGGCTTCCTGTCATGCATTAGGGGTTCCTGCCATGCAAATGAGGACTTGAAACAAGTCAGTTCTGACTGGTTGATGTTGCCTCATGGGTCAGGCAAGATTAACACAGGGTGGCTCGTGTACAAAACGGCTTCCATAGTGCCTTTTAGATGGAGTCTCTGTTCCAAGGGACAGAGTGTGAGGACAGTGCCATTCCTGATCTTTCTTCTGCTTTTGCCTCTGTGGCTGGGCCCATAGCCCGGGTTGGTGTTCAGTTGCAGGACGTGGCTCTTCTCAAGAACTTTATGACTCATCTTGGGTGGAATCTGGTCCTTTGAGTCCAGATCCTGCCTCCCACACCTATTTAGCTGCGTGACCTGGGCCATGTGGCCCCTCTCTATCTCAGTTTTGCTTCTGCAGACTGAACTACGACACCGCTGCCCCCCTAGGTTTGGAATTGTGTCAAGTGCAGAACACGGAGCCTGGTACGTAGTGAGCTCTCAGCGAAGGGTGTTCTGTCTTTACCGGGCTTAGAGTGACTGGCATTGGGAACCTTTTCAAGTTCCTCCAGAAGCGGGCAGGCGGTATCTTCAATAAACTAGCAAAATTTTCTGTCCTGGATAAAATATTGGAAGAGGCTTACATCTGCATGCTCGTTTGCATATATCTGCATAAGAAACACCTTAGCCCTCTTCTGCCTTCAGGGAGGCCTGCTCTCCTAGGAGTCAGAGCCCCTGCTGCAGCTCTTGAGAGGGCTCAGAGAATCCCATTCTCCACGCCAGAGGAGTGTGGTCCTAGGGAGAAGTTAGCTCTCAGCCCCCATTGCGACACCCCCACCCCTCCTTGTGGGCTGTTCAGGAGATGGTGTCCCTTCATTATCAGACCCCTCCTGCAACCCTCTCCCAGCTGCTGTTGTGGGCTCTGAATGCAAAGCAGTGTTATGTAGGCACCGATGTTTCTAACACAAAGACACATAGAATCATTGCAGTGGATGCCAGAGCTTCACCCGCAGTGCACCCAATCTTGACAGCCTCTGAGACTGGGGGGTCACTGGCAGAGTGGCACTCCAAGAGTCTGGGAGTCTGGCCTCCTATCCCCAAATGCTTTGCCGAGCCACGCCAAGTGGATGCGGTTGTTTTGACTGGCTGCCACTTTGTGGTCATGGATACCTGAGACTTGATGGTCAAGGCTGATTAGTTGAGGCTGTAAGGCAGGGAGGCCCTGACAATGCAGGGTCCGAGGAGGTGGGGGTGTTCTGGAGGCTCCCAAAGGTCCTGCTTGGCTCGACTGTGCCAGACATGGACACCAGTGCCCTTTCTGGCTCCCTCTAGGTATGCACGGCCTTCACTGCAGAGCACGCCAAGCACGGACATGTCAAGATGCACCACGCCTACACCAACGTGGTGGGCCTGGGGGACTCCAGCACGTGGAGGCTGCCTTGTCTCAACCGCTATGTCTACATGTTCCTCGCTCCTCTCTTAATCCCCATCATAACCCCACTCGTGGCTGTAGGTACGTGCTGTGAGGGCCTGGCCCAAAGTGCCTGCAATGACCTGGATTCCCCTACTCTCCCTCCAAGTCTGGCTTCGTGGAGGCCACTTGTTGAGGAAGACCCAAGAGAGACTTTCTGAGGCAGCCAGGCAGCATAGAAAGAGTCTTGGACCTGGGGCCAAGTCTGGCTCTGCCACTTATTGACTGGGACTGTGGGCAGGTAACTTCACCTCTCTGAGCCCCAGGTTCCATACCAGATCCTCAAGGGTGATTTGAAAGCAAGTAGGTCGTAGATGTAAAAATGCCCTGTAGATGTCTTGCACAGATCATATTGCATGTTCTAGTTGTCTTGTATCATGGAAACGATATTATATGGTGGCAGGAACAGAAGCCATGGGGCAGCCAGACCTGGGTTCAAATCCCAGGTCTTGACCTTGGTCATGTCACTTGATGTCTCTGTTTCTTTGTCCATGCAATGGAGGAATCCACCTCCCAGGGCTGTTGCGTGCGTGAGTTAAACACACCCAGGCCACCCTCTGCCTTAGCACCACTGAGTCAGCAAGGAGCCAGCTCGTGATGGATGCAATCCTTGCCTTCCCCTGGCTCTATTTCTTGCCCCTTCTGGCAGAACGGCTGAGGAAGGTGGAGCTCAGGACGGCTCTGCGGACACTGGGCCTGATTTCCCTGGGCCTGTATTCTCACTACTGGCTGCTCCTAAACGTGTCAGGCTTTAAGAGCCCCAGCTCAGCCCTGGCCTGCATGCTTCTCACCAGATCCCTGCTGGCTCACCCCTACCTCCACGTCAACATCTTCCAGGTGAGGCCTCCCCTACCCTGCATGCTGGGTTAAGGGAGCATTCTTTAGGGGGACTGGCTGCAGGCTGGACTCAAGGTTGAAAAGGCTGGGCAACATCGTGGCTCATGCCTGTAATCCTAGCACTTATGGAGGCCAAGACATGAGGATCCCTTGAGGCCAGGAGTTTGAGACCAGCTTGGGCAACTTTGAAACCCCGTCTCCACAAAAAGTTTAAAAATTAGCCAGGTGTGGTGGCACGTGCCTGTGGTCCCAGCTTGGGAGGTCCAGGTAGGAGGATAGAGGCTGCAGTGAGCCATGATGGTGCCACTGCACTCCAGCCTGGGTGACAGAGCAAGACCCTGTCTCTAAAACAATAAAATAAGCCGGGCTCGGTGGCTCAGCCTGTAATCCCACGCTTTGGGAGGCTGAGGTGAGTAGATTGCCTGAGCCGGCGGGTTCGAGACCCGCCTGGGCAAGTTGGCGAGACCTCATCTCTACAATAAATCAAAAAAATCAGCCGGGCGTGGTAGCACATGCCTGTAATTCCGGCTACTCGGAAGGCTGAGGCGGAAGGATCGCCGGAGCCCAGCAGGTCGAGGCTGTGGTGGCCGGGAGCGGCCACTGCACTCCAGTCTGGGCGACAGAGTGAGACTTCAACTCAAAAAAAAAAAAAGAGAAAAAATAAAATAAAATAAAATAAAATAAACAAATAAGGTGATTGGGGATAGAGAGGCCACCTAAGGAGGCATTCTCACCTTCCGACCACCGCAGGTCATCACCAAGAGTTTTGATTTCAGGTAAGCGCTTTGCTTCTCCTTGCCTGATATTGGCTGGCATGCTTTCATTGGGCGGGATGCCCAATGGAGTGAAAATAAGAACCCCACTGAATGCCATGCAGCAGGCAGGTGAAGGAGGGAGGTGGGAGGTCTTCATGTAAGGCTGAGGGCTTGGCCTTCAGCTCCAGCGCTGTTTGCACAGGGACACCTGCCTGCTCCCTGCCCAGGGAAGGCCCCGGGTGGAGCATCCCGTACTTCACCATCCGGCACTCACCACAACTGCTGTTAATGACTTAATCCCATAACTGTGTCCTGTCCTGTGCCAGTGGAAGCCCCTGGTCACCTCCGAGTTCCTAGACCTAGGACAGCGCCCGGCAGAGGAGGCACTTGCAGCACGTGGTTACAGGCACTGGTTAAACTTCATCTTGAACAATGAGTGAGACCTTGGTTGGTGAAGAGTGCAGGAAGGGTCTTTCCAGCATGAGGCAAAGGCAGAGTGCCATGACAGCCAGTGGTAGCAGTCATGGGCATTAGAGTACCACAGGATCCGAGCAGATCCCAGTCCATACCTCCTATTGTATAGATGTGGAGAGAGGCCCAGGCTGGGCAGGCAGAGGACACCTGGGGCGGGGTGGAGAGGTCCAGGGCAGCTTGGCCCAGTCCCAGGGCGTGACCCACGTGTCTGTCACAGCACATCGGGCTGCCCATGTTCTCCCGGGACAACAAGCCCCGACGAATCCACCTGATGAGCATGGGGGTGCTCAACCTGCCCCGACTGCCTGTGCTGGACTGGGCGTTCGGCCATTCAATCATCAGCTGCCACGTGGAGCACCACCTCTTCCCCAGGCTCTCCGACAACATGTGCCTGAAGGTAGGGGAGGGCTGGGCTGGGACTGGGGCCTGGGGTGAAGGAACTGTTTGAGGGTGGAGAAGGAAACCTCCAGGGCCCGGTCAGAGGTCACCCAAGAAGGGCAGCCTGGTCTACACGCAGCAGCATGGGTTTCAGATCAGAGACACCCGGTTTCTGACTAGCAGCGTGACTCTGGACAAGTTAACTGAATGCCTCTGAGCCTTGGCTTCCCCTTCTGTAAAATGGGAGTAAGCAGTGCCTATACTGACTGACCATGAGGACGAAATGGAGAAACGGATCTGAAATGTTTGGCACACGGTAGCTGCTTGGTGAAAGGCAGCTCTGGTTTTCATCCCGCTGGGCCAAGGAGGGCTGTCATGCAGACAGGAGCTCAGGGGGAGGCTTTTGGAGAGAAGCTCCCACTGGGTGGGGGGCAGAAATTCTCCGAATTTAGTTCCTCAGCTCCTCCAGAGCATCACGGAACCGGGTAGACGGGAGCTGGGACTGGGACGAGGACAGCCCCCGTGGGGTGACGGGTCTGCCCATAGTCCCAGCTCACAGCCTTCTCTTCCTGCCCGTCTTCTCTTCTCAGGTGAAGCCCGTGGTGTCCCGGTTCCTCCACGAGAAACAGCTGCCATACAATGAGGACTCATACCTGGCTCGCTTCCGGTTATTCCTCCACCGCTATGAGGAGTTCATGGTGCAGGCCCCACCGATCACTGAGCTCGTGGGGCTGCCATGAGGCCGGGCCAGTGCTGCTGCCCCTGCCTCCTTCTGGCCCAGCCCTGGCCCTTCTGCTGCTGCTGGCCCGGGGTTGTGGCTCAGTAGATGGTGGTGGACCCGGATATAAGAGGCAGGCAATGAGGCTGGGAGGGGGCCTGGTGGCCGCCTGCCTTGCTTGCTTCTCTGGGTTTCTCGGGGTATTTGGGGGAAGCAATAATGGTGGCTGAGTATTCTGGTCAGTCTGGACCTCAGCCAGCTTAATCTCAGGACTACACAGCTGAATCCTTCCCCTCTGCTCCACCTGGGCCTTGGTAGGGGGAATTGGGGGTGAGTTGGGATGCTGCATAGGGGTCACCTGGGAGGCAGGAGGGAGCACAGAGAGAGGAGGGAAAGCCCCATGGCCTGGGGTCTGCCTGGTGGTGGGAGAGCCTCATGCTGGCTTGGCCACTTTTTCTTCCTGTACCCTTTGAGGCTCTGCCCACCAAGGTGCCCTCTCCCTGGGGACCTCAGGGTGAGCTTCCTTTTGGCAGGCCTTCCTAGTTTCTCAGCCAAAGAAGCCTGTGTGAGACACTGCTCAGTAATTCCCCAAGCCCACAGTGCTGGAAAGATAAAATCAGGTGTTTTTTGTGGGGATAGAATCCAGGGAACGTGAGGGGAGAGAGTCTCTCAGGGGAAAAGAGTATGAGTAGCTTTGAGCATGACCTTGGCTAGCTCTAGAAAAGTCTGCTTTGCTCCATGATGTTTAGAAGTGGTGAATCTGGGAAATTATCCACTGGGAATGGCTTTCCTGGGAGGTAGCTGAGGCTGGAGAGGGTGGGGTCTGGAGGACAGATGGCTTCAGAGGGGAGAGGAGGGAAGGTGGGTGCAGAAAAAAGCCTGAAGTCGGGGCTGGGCTTGCTCTGGAAGGACGGTCTGCAGCCTGGGAGTGAGGTGGGCCTGTAAGGGAACCACTGATGGCAGCCAGAGGAAGAGGCCAAGGCGTTGAGGGACACCATTGGGATTTAGCCAAAGTGGACAGAGTTGAGAGACCCCAGCTGGGGGATGGACCTGGGGGTTGCAAGGAAGTACCCAGGTAGAAGGAGGGACAGAGAAGGAAGCCAGACCTGAGATGAAGCCAGAGCAGTTAGTTTAAAACAGGCTCTCTCACCTTGGCCCTATTGGCATATTATCTGGACAAGGCTTTGCTGTTGAGGATGCATGGTGGGATGTGTATCAGTATTCCTGGCTTCTGCCTACAAGGTGCTGGGAGCCCAAGTTGTGACAATCAAAACGCCTCCAGGCATTGTCGAATTGTCCATGGTTGAGAACATGCACGTCGTCCTCTGCATGCATACTTGCCTTGTTTTTCAGTTAAGTCCTTGGATGGGGTGAAGGGTGTGCTGACCCTGCTGATAGGGAGATGGGCTGCCAGCAGATGGGAACTCATGGGATGGGCAGAGGAGGCCGGTGACAGGCGAAGGCATTCTCAGAGCTCATTCTGTTGGAGACCCCGTCTCTGGTGTGGCCTTGGGCAGCTCTGCAGCAGGGCAGCCATTTGTCCCTCTGGGTCCACTCCCCACTCGTCTCTGCCCTGCCTTCCTCTGCCAAAGACCACGGATCCTTCAGGCACCTTTTCTTATAGCTCCAGCTCTCACTAGTTCCAGAACAGCTCCCACCAGGCCTGGGTGGTAGTGGCTTCCAGCTGTTACCAGCCCAGGGGTGCTTCTCCAGACCCTCAGCCCTCTGTATCAACTCCCTTCAATCACCTCTCTAGAGTGTGCCATCTGTTCCCTGCTGGGAAGCTGACTGATAGAGTGGAGTTTTGAGCCAAGCAGCCCTCTTGGCACAAGGCAGGCTTGGCAACCTCCCCGGCCCACTGCTTTGCTCTATGTGATTGCTGCTCTTTTGAAATGCATTAGCAGCTTAGAAATGGCCTTAAGGTCTAAGAGCACAATTAATCAAACTGCTAATTCTCCATATGAAAAATGCAATGTCAGAAAAGGCCCCCGTTGTGTAGTCCTGGCTAGTGATTAAAACCATCCAAATACGAAACCAATGACTCATTGTTATTGATCTGGGCCTGAGTGGAATATGGGCTGCAGCTGGAGACCCTGGTGCCAGATCTGGCTGTATCATGGACACCTTTGAAGCTCAATTTTCTGGTTAGACTGAGGATGTGGGCTGGGGATGCCTGGGGCTTATGAGGTGAGGGAAGATGACAAGAGTGAATGAAGTGTGTTTAAAGGGCTCTGCAGAGATATAAAATCTAATTTATAAAGGTATTGGGAGGTGACAACATGTATTGATGATGATAATAGATGAGTAACTTTTTGAAAAAGTTATTTTTTGAGCCAGAGTCTCTCTGTCACCCAGGCTGGAGTGCAGTGGCACAATCATGGCTCACTGCAGCCTCAATCGCCTGGGCTCAAGTGATCCTCTTGCCTCAGCCTCCTGAAGAACTGGGACTATGGGTGCACGCCACCACACCTGGCTAGTTTTTTTTTAATTTTTTTTGTAGAGAAGAGGTCTCACTATGTTGCCTAGGCTGGTCTTGAACCCCTGGACTCAAGCAATCCTCCTGCCTTGGCCTCCCAAAGTGCTGAGATTATGAGGCATGAGCCATCGTGCTTGGCCAGTAACTTTTATTTAGCACTCATGGCAGATGCTTTTACTTATGTCATCTAATTTTAATCTCTTTAACAAATTGGTACTATTTTCTCTCACGTTACAAATGATGAAAAAAGTCCTAGAGAGATTAAATTTCTCAATGTCATATAGCTAGTAAGTGGCAGAAGAGGGATTCGAATCTACTGTGTCTGACTCCAGAATTCATGTTATAAACCACCAGACACACTGCTTCTGGATAGGGAGCCATATAGAGCTTTCTGGGGTATGTGATCCTGAATCTCCAGTTTATCATTAAGACAAATCCTTTGTGAATATCCATTATGTGCCAGGCTCTGTGTGAAGCTCCGGGGATGTAAAAGCAAATAGGACTGGGTTTCCCCAGTCCCGTGGAGCTTACAGTCTTAGTGCAGGGGTTGTCAGACTCTTTCAGCAAAGAACCAGATAGTAAATATTTTGGGCTTTGTGAACCATATGGTTTCTGTTACACCTACTCAGTTATGCCATCAAAGTGCAAAAATAGCCATAGATAATATGTCAAGAAATAAGCATGGGTGGGTTCCAATAAAACTTTATATACAGACACTAAAATTTGAATTTTATCTAATTTTTCACCTGTTAAAAATATTCTTAATTTTTTTTACTATTAAAAAAGCAAAAACCATTCTTTTTTTTCTTTTCTTTTTTTTTAGTTGGAATCTCACTCTGTCGCCCAGACTGGAGTGCAGTGGCCACGCCCGGCCACTGCAGCCTCGACCTGGGCTCCAGCGTTTCTTCTGCCTAAGCCTTCCAAGTAGTTGGAACTACAGGTGTGTGCTACCACGCCCGGCTAATTTTTTGATTTATTGTAGAGATGAGGTCTCACCAAGTTGCCCAGGTGGGTCTCGAACCTGCGGGCTCAGCAATCCACTCACCTCAGCCTCCCAAAGCATGGGATTACAGGCTGAGCCACCGAGCCTGGCTGCAAAAACCATTCTCGTGGGTCATTCAAAACAGGATGGTGGGCAGCATTTGGCCTGCAAGCCATAAATAATTTGCCTACCCCTGGTCTAGTGGAGCAAGCATAAAACACAGTGACTTATTAGAGAGCAGAACAGGCTGGGTGCTGTGGCTCATGCCTGTAATCTCAGTACTTTGGGAGGTCAAGGTGGGAGGATAGCATGAAGTCAGGAGTTTGAGTCCAGTCTGGGCAACATAGTGAGACTCTCATCTCTTGGGGAAAAAAAAAAAAAAGCAAAACAGTATTTATTTCTCAGTAGAAGGAAAGGGACAGACTAGTAGGGGTATAGGGGACACCTGGGATACTGGTCATGTTTTATTTTCGAATCTGGGTGGTGGTTACATGGTTCCATCTTGTGATAATTCATCAAGCTGTACACTTATGATTTGTGCAGTTTTGTGTGTGTGTGTTTTGAGTTGGAGTCTCACTCTGTTGCCCAGGCTAGAGTGCAGCGACACACCGGCAGCTCACCTCAGCCTTGACCTTCTGGGCTCTGGTGATCCTTCCACCTCAGTTTCCTGGGCACGCGCCACCACACCTTCTTTTCATTTTCGTAGAGAGGCGGTCTGGCTACGTTACCCAGCTGGTTTCTAAACTCCAGGCCTCAAGCAATCTTCCCGCCTCTGCCTCCCAAAGTGCTGGGATTACTGGCATGAGCCGCTGCTCCCGGCCTCTGTAGGTTATACTTCAATTTTTAAAACTCATAAAAATGTCAACAGGTGTGATAAGTAATGACGGGGTAGGATCAGGTGCTGTGGGGAGGAGAGGCCTTTAACCCCTTGGAGCTTGGAAGGGGACAGGTCAGAGAAAACTTCAAGGAAGCAACGTTTAACAAGAGGGCCCTTGGGGGAAAAGGGAGAGACAACAGGTCTGTGGGTCAGAGGGTGACCACGCGGATCCTGTCTGTATTTAAAAACATGTTTTGCTCCTAATTTTTTGTTCGTTCGTTTTAACATTTTAAAACACTGCATCGTAAGATTTACCTTTATTATTGATTTTCTTTGGCGCCCCTTTAAAATCTAGACCCAAGGGGAGTGCCTCACCCGGGTCTCGGCACCGCAGGACATGGGTGGGAGGCTCAGACCTTGGTATCAAGGGTAAGCAACTCCCCACGCCTCCTTTTCTTCATCTGTGTAATGGGAAAGGGTTTAATATTCTCCCTGGCCGACACGGACAGCACCTTGCCACGGCTACACCGGCACAACACGGGTCGCCGAAGTGGGTGGCCAGGCTCCGGACGCCGGCCCCTTCCCCCAAAACTCCCACGCTCTGCTTATGCCCCAACGGGCGGGAAGGCGCTCTTGGAGCCGGACTCCTGATTGGCTGGGACGAAGCCACGCGCAGGAGGATAGGCTCTCGGAAGGCAGAGGCGCATTTGCGTCATCAGCGAGCGCCGAGAGCCTCCCGGGAGTGGGGCGCGGCTAAGTGAAATAAACTCCTTTCTCATTGGCTTCCTCTTTCGGGAGGGACTGAAACAGCGACGGGAATTCGCTCTCCTCCAAATCCAGGCTTCCGGCATTTGGAAGGAGGGAGAGGATCAGGGAGAAGCTCAGGAAGGCACGTTGGGCCCCGAAGCCCTGAGGGGCGGGGCTTCGGCGGAAGGGGGCGGGCCGAGGGCGGGCCTCTGCTCTGGGGGCGGGATTCTCTTGGGAGTCGAGGTGGCGCCGCAGCGCAGCGCTTTCCCAGCGCGTGGGAGGCGGGGCTTGTGGGCGGGTCCTCGCTTGTGGGCGGGGCCACAGGCCAGGCCGGGAAGTGACCGGCGGGCTGGTCCGCGAGCCGCGCGGGGAAGCCGCTAGGATCGGACCCGCTTGCAGATTGCAGTTCCCAGCCATGGCTCCGCGCTGCTGGCGCTGGTGGCACTGGTCGGCGTGGCCTCGGATCCGGCCACCCTCCGCCCGGAGCACCCTGAGTAGGAGCAGGGCACCTTGGGGCTGGATGGGAATGCAGGGAGGCCTGCGAGCGCTACGTGCAGTGAGGGGAGCGAAGCCGGGACAGGGCTGGAGAGGGGCGAGACTGGAGGGGTCTGTTCATGCTGACAAGATAGGAGTGGGCACGGGAGCTGATGGGGGCGTGTGCGGAGAGAGGTGAGGCCTCTAGGGTGAGACAGGGTCAACTAAGGGGAAGGAGAGAGACCATGAGGTCTACAGGTGTGAGGCGGGTGAATAGGGATGATATGGAGGTCTGTAGGGAAGAGGGAAGTCTGAAGCAAAACAGGGTCTATAGGAATAAGACGGGGGTCTACATGGGCAATATAGAGTTCTCTGGAGAGAGGGATTAGAAGAGCGAAGGTGGGGACGTAGTAGGGAGACCCATGGGGTGAGATTGGGATGATATGAAGCCCATTGTAAGGATGTGGGATTCTGGCCGATTGGGTAGGGAACTCCATACGAAAAATTGTTGTGCGGAGCAGCGTGAGGTGATGGCTGTTGAGTATGCCATCTGTCGTGGTATGGTAGGTTCATGGATGAGACATGGGGCTCTGAACGAAGATACAGCCCTTGGGGGTGCAGATGAAGTAAGGGACCCTGCAAATGCCAAATGTTGAGGAACAAGAGAAGGAGGGTGCAGGTGAGGGTGAAGCTTGGGCAGTTCCAGCTTCTCCTGAACCCTGAAGTTGGTTTGGGGTTGGGGAGGGAGGGTCGCCTTTGACTTTCCTCCCCCTCCTCTACCTGGCCCCAGGCTTCCGCCGGCAGTTCTCCACACAAGAGAAGACCCCCAAGATCTGTGTGGTGGGCAGTGGCCCAGCAGGTTTCTACACGGCCCAACACTTGCTAAAGGTAAGCTACTTCCTCCTGGCTCCCTCTGCTATCATTCACCTCCTGCTCCAATCCTAAGGGCACGTCTCTCCCCCTCTGGGTTTTAAGGCCACTCCCGGATGCCTGATGGGGAAGGGGTTCCCAGCCCATCTAGGCTGGACACTTCCTGCCTGCTTCCTTACCTACACTTGGGGCTCCCTGCGCTAGGTCCCCTGTGTGAAAGCGGTGTGTCTCAGTGACCAGTGGTCAGCAACAGGTGATCAGCTCTGTCAGGGAGCTTACACAGACCTGCAGGATGACTTCATCTTCCCTTCTCTTCCTGTCTTTCTCTTCTGTCTCCTCTAGGTCCCCAGCATCCTGCATCTCAAGTCTACCCCCTCCTCAGCTTTCTGTAACTTGACCTGCGTCACTGTGTCTTCTTCACTTACAGCTCCAGCCCTCCCATGCCATTCTGTTCTTTTGGTCTGCCTTCTGCCCCCCTTCCCCACTTCCTTGTAAAGGCCAAGGTCTCAAGCCTTTCAGTGTCAGCTTTGGCAGGCAGGGCCTCAAGGCTGCCGGTTACACTTGAGATCCCACATCAGACCTTGAAACAGAGTAGGGAGGGGAAACGAAGGTCGACTGAGACATGAAATAGTGACCTAGCTTTGGAGAAGCTTGGAGTGTCCATGGAGAGACGGGAGAAAGGATGAATATCTTAATTATACACACATGCAGATGCTTGAAATGCAGAGTGACTAGCTGTCTTGGTTTCCTCGGGGCATGGGCTTTAGTACTAAAACTGGGGAGACCCGAGTGAGTTGGTTACTCTGATGAAAAGTGACCTATACAGCTTCCCAGGCAACACAGGTGAAAGAGCTAATTATAATGATGTGATCAGCGTGAGTCGAATCAGTGGGGGCAACGAGAAACTGTTTCCTAGAAAGGGTGTATTTGGGCTGCATTGAAGAAGGCCATGCCTCTGGCAAAAAAGGCCTTCCATATGTGTGGAGTCATCCTGGAATGCAAGGCCACAGGCAGACTGCCAAGTGGGAGGATAGTCTGGGCTCTGGGAGGGAGACCAGGGAGCTCATGGTGGCTGGGGAGGCCCTGGAGGACTTCATGTAAGGGGCATTGAATTAGCTGAGTCTGAAATTTTGGGAGTGGGAGAGTAGGCCTTTTTGATAGGGTTCTTCGCACCTCCTGTGTAAGCAAAGACCCTGGCCTGCACTCAACCAGCAGACATTTGGGCTGAGGATGGATGCAAAGGCCAGTTACAAGCTGATCCTTGCCCACAGGGAGCTCCTGGCTACTGACAGTGTTCCTAAGATGGACCTAGTGCAGCACATTGGGGCAGTGACACCTGGCCTGAGGCAGGCACTGAGCACAGCATCTCATAGCATCCTCATGACAACCTGTGAAGCAGTGTCATGACTCCTGCTTCACACGTGAGGGCCCTGAGGCAGTCCAGGATCCCACCACTGAGCAGGGAAGGCACTGGGATATGAGCAAAGGTGGTCTGACAGCCAAGCCTAGCACCATACTAGGCCATCAGTCATTCATTCAGTAATCGTGTACCAGAACTGACTATGTCCCAGGCACAGGGTGCACTGGGAAGATGGGAGTGAGCAGGACAGACATAGTCCCTGTGCTTGAGGACCTAACATTCTAATGTAAAGGGCAGGTGGCTGGTTTGCAAGGCATTTTAGGGCTTGATATAAGCACAGAAACTTGAGCATATAGGGAGGGCCCCCAGACCCAGTCTGGAGGAAGATATGTCCAAATTGCATTCCGAGGGACAGCAGGAGATGTCGGGTCAGGGGACAGAACAGCAGGGGTGTCCCAGGCACAGGAATCTGCAGGGACAAAGGCCAGAAGAGGGAGAGAATGGTCCTTTGGGAGAAGGGTATGTTCCAGAAGGTGTGTGTGTGTAGTGAGGGGTGAAGAGATGAAAGCTGAAGCTGAGAGGTAGATGGGACCCAGATTCTGGGGATCTTGGATGCCGCCCACCAGGCTCTGGACTCAGCCCCCGCCCCTTCCCTGCATCAGAGTCCCCTGGGGGGGGGTAGTGGGTCTTATTAAAATGCACATTTTGGGATCTGGCTCAGACCTAATCAAACTCTGTAACTAGGGCCCAGGAATCAGCACATTTCTTTTTTATTTTGTTTAATTTCAAAGATATGGGTACAAATCATGATTAGGTATACAAGTGGTCTTTGTTCAGGTAAAGTTTGGGTCTCCCTTTCGCCTGGTTTGAGATCAGGTACCCTTTTATTGATGTTGCATGCCCCTCTCTCCCATGGCAGTTTCCCACTACTGCCAATCCCTTTCTTATAGCACTATGATAAATGTTCAGGGTCTGCTTATGAGTGAGAACATGTGGTACTTAATTCTTTCTGTGATAGTTCACTGAGTGTGACAGGCTCTAGGAATCAGCAATTTCCAACACCCTAGGGGTTTCTGGTGCCCACCACTATAGGTGGGTGGCTTCACTGGAGAGTTTTAGGCAAGGGACTGATAGGCTGTCATTTTTCCTTTGGGATGTCCTCTCTGCCCGTTGGGTAGATACTGGCAGGGCCGGTGGCCAGGAGAGCAGTGGGGAGCTGCTTGAGTGGCTGCCAGGAGGAGAAGGACTGGGAGGAGGTGGGATGGTTGGAATAGGGTCGGAGGTGGGGCAGGGAGGAGCCCCAGGTTCCAGGTTCTGAGTGGATGCAGTGGAAGAAACAAGAGTAGAAGGCAAGAGGTTTGGGGGAAGGAGGCTTGGCTTCCATCTGGGTGGGTCTGAGATGTCTGGCGTGAGACATCCGGGGCTCAGGTTTGGAGCTTGGGGAGAGGTCTGGGCCGGAAAGCGAGTGAGAGTGAGATACGCGAGCAAGTCCGTGGGAATTTGAGATCACAGGGGTGTGGGTAAATCCTTCCCAGGGAGTGTGTGCCCAGGGAGAAGGGGGGGACCCCGGATGGGAAGAACCTAAGAGAATGTCCTTGTTACGGGGGAACAGCTGGAGGGCTAGGAGGGAGGGACAAGTTCAGCCACATAAGATAAGGGGGAAAACGGTCCAGCTGACTTAGCCCCATGGAGGTGGCGCTGGAGAGCACATTGTGACCCAGAGTGAAGGATCCAGAGTGAAGACAGGAGGGAATGGCAGTAGAGACAAAGGGAGAGGATTGGGTGAGGCATCGCCCACCAGGCTAAACTGTCTGGACTTTGTCTGATGGCAGTGGGCCCCAGGGAAGGTTTGTGAGCAAGGCAGTGACGTGCCACAGCAGTGACAGTACTGGTAGCTCACACGACACACTGAACACTCAGAGCAGCTGCACCCTGGGCTAAGTACTCGCTCACTTAACCTTGAGCATGATGCCAGAAGGATGTCTGTTGGGCAGAGAGTTAAACTTTCCCCAGGGTACAGAGCCGATGAGTGGTGGAGCTGGGATTGGTGTCCATGACCGTGTGACTCCAAGGCCAGACTGTCGGTGGTAGAACATCGTAGCATTTGAGAGAGGTGGCTGACCTGGGATGGAGCAAGGTGGGAAATATTGGGAGGGGACGGGGCTCGGGTGGAGGAGCGGAGTGGGAGGAAGAGGGGCTTGGACGGAGGTGAGGAGGTGAGTGGGAGCCCCTGTTGGGGTGAGGCGACTGGTAGGCCGGGGCTTGAGTCCCAGTGAATTGGGAGGTGTCACAGCGAACCTAGGATGGGATGGGAGCCAGGTGTGTCTCCATGCGTACCCCAACTGCTTTACTGCCAACCTGCTTATGGCCTAGAGTCTCTTACCATCCGAACTCCCTGATGCTTCCCAGCCACCCTGAGAGGGAGCCGTTATTCACCCCAGTTCGCAGATGGGGAGACTGAGACCTGGGGAAGCCCTGAGACTTGCCAGCATCGCATGACTGGTTGGCAGAGCCAGACCAGACTTGTCCACCCAACCCTGTGCCTTCCACCTGGCCCCTCGAAGTGCCCTGGGCAGGCAGTCAGCGTGGGCCCGCTGTGTGAGCGAGACTGCTTTTCTAAGACTAGCAGCAGGGCCATTCCCATCTCTCTCCGGCCCCCACATGCCCCAGTGTGTCTCTCTCCCTGTCTTACTGTCCTGTCCTTTCCAACAGGATGATGCTGGAGACCAGAGTTAAAGCAGCTGTGAACTTCACAGGGTGGTCCTCAGACTGGCTGGGCATTTCGGAAGTGTCGGAGGGTTGGAGGGCCGGGCTGTGGGTCACACCTGACCCAAGGAGATGAAGGAGCTCCCCTGATACGACTCCAGTGGTGGGGAAGCTATGCCTCCCTCAGCTGGCCACGCTCTCACACTCTCCGCGGCTGGCAGTCCTTCCTGAGGTCTGATCTTAGCTGCTTGTGCCGCCCACTTCCCCTTGTCTGGTGCTCTGGGCAGACGGGAAGTCGAGGCACGTTCTGCCTCCTGGGTCCCATCCCATGGAGCTGAGCTTTCCTGTTCTTCCTGGGGAAGGGGAGGTTCCGTGGGGTCCCAGCCTCCTGCCCGGCTCCCCCAGCTGCCACCTTCTCTCCCAGCACCACTCCCAGGCCCACGTGGATATCTACGAGAAGCAGCTCATGCCTTTTGGCCTGGTGCGCTTTGGCGTGGCGCCCGACCACCCCGAGGTGAAGGTGCGTCTCCCTGGACCTGGAGCGTGGGGTTGGCGACTTTGGCCAAGACGAGGAGGGCAGGGAGGCTCCGTGGCTGGACGGAGTGACTGTCGAAGCCACCACGGTGCCATGTGGGGTGAGGGAGGGGCTGGCATGATCCCTGGAGCTGCCTCACCTTCTAACCCCACCCACTCTGGGGGTGCCCGGCAGAATGTCATCAACACGTTCACCCAGACGGCCCAGTCTGACCGCTGTGCCTTCCGTGGCAATGTGGAGGTGGGCAGGGACGTGACCGTGCCGGAGCTGCGAGAGGCCTACCATGCTGTGGTGCTGGTGAGTGCGGTTGGGTGCCGGGCGGGGGCAGGGGCTGCAGCAGGAGGGGGTGCTGGGTAGGGGACAGGGGCTGCAGCGGGCAGAGGCCGGGGCTAGGGGGCAGGGGCTGCAGCAGGAGGGGGGTGTGGCCAGGCTGGAAGCTACAGAGGAGAAGCCAGTGGTAGGCCACTGGGCGTCTGGGGGGCTTCCCCACTTCTCGGGGCCGGTGCTGAGGGCTCTGGGCCTTGGGTGTGCTGTCTTTCGTCAGAGTTACGGGGCAGAGGACCATCAGGCCCTGGAAATCCCTGGGGAGGAGCTGCCAGGTGTGTTCTCGGCCCGGGCCTTTGTGGGCTGGTACAATGGGCTTCCGGAGAACCGGGAGGTGAGTTTGGGGAACACCACCTCTGCCTCTCCCTCCCGACCCCTCTGCCAGGACCAAGGCAGTCCTTGGATGCCAGAGCTGGGGGAGGAGGGGGCCACCGTCCAGGGTGAGATGTGAGACACTGGGCTGACCGAGGGGGGGTCGGCTGTGGGGGCGGGTGGGGGAGGGACCTGAGTTGAGCTCAGATAGGCTGGTCTTTCTGAGTGTGGGAACCCAAGGGTACGGCTGGGGACTGGGCGTGAGAGGTGTCTGCAGACTGAGGTTAAAGCCAAAGCTAGAGGGACCCTATCAAGACTTTGTCCTTCCAGCTGGCTCCAGACCTGAGCTGTGACACAGCTGTGATTCTGGGGCAGGGGAATGTGGCTCTGGACGTGGCCCGCATCCTGCTGACCCCACCTGAGCACCTGGAGGTAAGTGGCAGGTTGGGGGGTGGGGCCAACTGAGGAGAGAGTGTCTCCCCCTACAGGGTTCAGGCTTCACCCCTCTAAACTGAGCTCAGTGCCTTTGTTTCCCCAAGGTGCCGAGGCAGAGGCCTTCTGAAAGGCAGCCCCATGAGCTTCCCCCTTCCCTTCTGTACTCCGGCTAAGTGGGCTCTTTAAAAAAACAACTCGTCTGTGTTCCACAGGACCTTTGCACATGCCCTTCCCCATGACTGGAACGTCCTGACTTACCCCTTGCCGGTTGCCATTTAAAGTTCGTCTTTTAGATCCTGACTCAGTTGTCCCTTCCTCCAGGACTGCCCTGAATGGGTCCATTTCCCCTGTAATGCCCTCCTCTCATAGGCCTGCCTACTTCTGTTTTGTAGCACGAGGCCGGGGGTGAGTCTCACGTAGCCCAAAGACACCCCCTTTCTCAGGTATCCCCACCCCAGCCTGGTATTGCTCACAGCATAGGTGCCATCACTGTAATTTTGCACTGGCTGATGAGCATTGGAGGAGCAGCTCTCTCTGCACCAGATCAGAAGCTCCGTGAGAGTCGGAACCATGTCTGTTTTGCTCGCCACTGCCCACCCCTGCCCCTAAACTCCGTCTCCGTAAGGACTTGTTGAATGAGAGCCCGGGCCTGGTTTGCTGCTAGGGGAGCCAGTTGCGGAATTGTCTGCAATGCTCCATCTGGCCACCAGGGGAGGGCAGTGATGCAGTTTTGCTCCGCCAGCCTTGGTTCAGGGTAGGGACGTGACCAAGCGGGGAGTCCCCTTCTCCTGGTCAGTGTTCGATGACTTCAAGGCCATCCTTTTGTGCCAGAAAACGGACATCACGGAGGCAGCCCTGGGGGTACTGAGGCAGAACCGGGTGAAGACGGTGTGGATAGTGGGCCGGCGTGGACCCCTGCAAGTAGCCTTCACCATTAAGGTGCTGGGGCTAGAGGGGGAGGGGCCAGGGTCCCAAGTAGGGAACCTCCCCTTGGGGGGCTGGGATGGGGTGGGACAGAGCCGCTGGAAGTAGCTGCTGCTTGGGATGGACGAGAGTAGCAGGCAGGACCCCCGGGGTCCTGTGCTTTCTGTGGAGGAGGGTGGTATCTCCCATTTGGGTTGGACTCTTGGGTGGGCTCAGAGGTGCTCAGCGTTCTGGGCCTGACCTCCCCCCCCCCACTTCCCACCCCCCTCCCCCCTAAGGAGCTTCGGGAGATGATTCAGTTACCAGGAACCCGGCCCATTTTGGATCCTGCAGATTTCTTGGGTCTCCAGGACAGGATCAAGGGTGAGGGGCTCTGGCCTGGCCCCCCAGCTACTAGGGAGGGGATGGCCTAGGTCAGAGAGGACTCAGGGGGAGGGTATGCAGCGAGAGGACCCTGGCCCGAGGACAGCCCTGAGACATTCTACGTTGCTGACAGAGGTCCCCCGCCCGAGGAAGCGGCTGACAGAACTGCTGCTTCGAACAGCCACGGAGCAGCCAGGGATGGAGGAGGCTGCCCGCCAGACGTCAGCCTCCCGGGCCTGGGGCCTCCGCTTTTTCCGAAGCCCCCAGCAAGTGCTTCCCTCACCAGAGGGGCGGCGGGCAGCAGGGATCCGCCTGGCAGTCACCAGACTGGAGGTGAGTCTCATGTTACCCAAAGCCACGCCCCTTCTCAAGCCCACCCCACCCCGGGCTGGTGTTGTCCACACTCTCCCCAACAGGGTGTTGGTGAGGCCACCCAGGCAGTGCCCACAGGAGACGTGGAAGACCTCCCTTGTGGACTGGTGCTGAGCAGCGTTGGGTATAAGAGCCGCCCTATCGACCCCAGCGTACCCTTTGACCCCAAACTTGGGGTCATCCCCAATACGGAGGGTCGGGTTGTGGACGTGCCAGGTGAGAGGGCATGAGAAGGCTGGGCACCACATTATGGTGGGAGGCCAGAGTCTCCTGGGGCCACTCAGTCATCTGTCTAATGATATGCACCGAGAAGCCGCTCTGAGGCAGGCTGTATCCAGCACCCAGTGCCATCCTCCTGGCCCTAGGAGAAGTTCCCAGTCTAGCTGGACTTATGGGACATATGTCTGCTCTGGGCTAGGCTCTGTGCTCAGTGCTGGGAGTGGAGATTAATAAGGCAGGCCATGTCCTCAGGTAGCTTCCAGTCTTATTAAATACACACATAGCTATCTAGTCGCTAATTTATTCAGTAAGCACAATGGGCGTGCTGAAGCGGGGGCAGGGGGGTGGTGGTGGCAAACCCCAGCTCCTGCCCCCAGGGAGTTCCTTGTCTACAGGGAAACCGAGGGGGGGACGGCATGGTAAAAACAGGCTGAGAAGAATCCAGGGTGGTGGACCCGTGGCTGGCAGAGTGCTGGGAGCCTTGGGGTGTCTGTGTGTGTACATGTGTGTACAGACGGGGGGGCACAGGCTTCCAGCGTGGTGTCCAGGTATTTCCCTTTCGTTCCCCATCTGGTACTCCCCTCAGGCCTCTACTGCAGTGGCTGGGTGAAGAGGGGACCCACAGGCGTCATAGCCACCACCATGACTGACAGCTTCCTCACCGGCCAGTCGCTGCTGCAGGACCTGAAGGCCGGGCTGCTCCCCTCTGGCCCCCGGCCTGGCTACACCGCCATCCAGGCTCTGCTCAGCCTTCGAGGTCTGGGCCCTGGCGCGGAGGTCCTGGGAGGAGGGATGGGTGGCCCCTCTTTGGGGGGTGTTCTGGGGGGCGGGTGAAGCAGGGGTGGTGACAGAGACACCTGGGCAGTGCCCACAGGAGATGTGGAAGAGCTCCCTTGCGGGCTGGTGCTGAGTAGCGTTTCCCGTTTCCCTCCGCTTCAGGGGTCCGGCCGGTCTCTTTCTCAGACTGGGAGAAGCTGGATGCAGAGGAGGTGGCCCGGGGCCGGGGCACCGGGAAGCCCCGGGAGAAGCTGGTGGATCCTCAGGAGATGCTGCAGCTGCTGGGGCACTGAGCCCAGACCCCTGTCCGGGGCGGGGGAGGGAGGAGGGCTTGCAGGGAGAGGGCCCGATCAGCCTGAGAGGGATTCGGTGCCCCCGCTGCATCGCGCCGCCCCGCTGAGGGCTTGGCTGTGCCTCTTCCAGGGGTCTCTGGACACGCCCTCCTGTGAGGAGACGGCCGTGCCTGCGGTTTAGTTTTCGGCAGGGAGGTAACCTCAGGGCTGAGCGGAGGCGCCGGCTGACCTCACTCCCTCCCACCTCTCTCCCGCTGGACTGGGGGGTCACGAGCTGGGAACACGCTGGAAATAAAACAGCCGCAACCAAGGGCCACGGTTGATGTGGAACTTTTCGGGGCGCTGGGCTGGGCGGTCGCCTTCCGGCAGCAGCTCCCCTTCGGGCACCAGGTGGCGCCGCAGAGACAGGTCCGCACCGGGGGCCTCGGGGGGGGTTGGCGCCCAGGCCTGCGGTACCCGCTCTCCCCCTGGCTTGGCCCTGCCGCGGGGG